GATCCTTTAATATTGCATAAGCACACAACCCAATCTTTTTAAAGAGGCATCACTATATATCTAAAATCCATCGGACCTTGAAGGAATAGTCAATATTGCCACAAACATTAAACAAGTCTTCAACTTCTAGAAAGCCTCCTCAAAACGATCTGACCATTCAAGCTTCACTGCCTTCTGAGTTAATCTTGATATTGACATAACAATATCTGAAAATCCCACGACAAATTTCTTGTAATAACCAACGAGATTTAGAAAACTCATGACCACAATAACAGTAGTGGGTCTTGAGCGATCTGCAATCACCTTAATCTTATTCTGATTCACAAATATGTTATTTCCACTTATAATTTGTCCCAGAAAAGACACACTTATAAGCTAAAATTTAAATTTATAAAATTAGTTATATGGTTTATGCTCCTTCAATACTTACAAAACAATATGTAAATGATCTGTATGACTGGCTTCATCTTTCGAATATACCAAGAGATCATCTATGAATACAATCACAATTGTATCCAAAAATTGCCTAAAATCATAGTCATCATATCCATAAAAACTCATATAGCATTAGTCAGTTCAAATGACATTGCCACAAATTCATAGTACTCTTCTATTCCTCAAATTTGTCTCACTATATCATCTCTTTAATCCTCAGCTGGTGATAGCTTAACTTTAGATCAACATTTGAATATACAGAAGCCCCTTCCAATGGATCGAATAGTTCTTCAATCATCGACAGTGGATATTTGTTCTTCACAACAAGCTTTTTCAATTCTTTACGGTCAATGTACATTATGAAGTTCCTATTCTTCTTTACTACTGATATTAGAGCTTCGCAAGGTGTGGTGCTAGGTATGATAAACCCCTTATCTAGCTATTCCTTCAATTGATTTTTTGAACATTTGCAACTTCTTAACGATCATTCCATAACGTGCCTTGGATATTGGCTCAGAACCCGGTAATAGCTCTATAGTGAAATCAATCTCTCTCATAGGAGGTAACCTTAGTAAATCATCAAGAGAAACTTCTGGATATTTCCTTAGCTCTGGAATATCACCCAATGATTTTACTTAGATGTATCTATCACATGAGCAAGAAAAACTTGGTTTTCATGATTCATCAATTTTAAAGCTTTCAAGCAGGTAACTATCATGAATGCCAACCCTCTATCACTATCAAATTTGACTTGCCTCCTCAGACATATTTAGTTTGACAATCTTTTCGTGGCAGTCAATTGTGAGTTTTTAAAAAACCAATCCATGCCTAAAATTATCTCAAATTCTACCGAAGATAACATAATCAATTGCGTGTCAAAATCATTTGCACCAATTATTTACTTCACGTTACATAAATGATTTTCCATAGAAGTACCGTTTGACATTCTAACAGATAATATCACAGACATTGAGGTGATATTCAATATCATCATTTTAACCAATTCCTCTGTCATAAAAGAATGTAATGCTTCTGAACCAAATTACACTCTTATTGGTCTATTATGAAAATATATGGTACATATCATTAAAATTATTGTATTGAATATTTTTTATTGTCTTATTAATGCATTTAAATTCTATCAGGATGTTATGAATGACATGGCATGAATCCTATTACAATTAAAAGTGCATTTGAAAAAAAATTCTTAAGTTTAATACATACTTGTGATAACTTCACGGACGTCCTTAGCTTTGTGCCGTGAAAGTGCATAAACCCTGAGTTGATTATTCTGCTGGGTCTGACATGGATTTGACCCTGATCATGAAGACTTAGCTGCACTCTGGTTGCTAAAGCTCCTCTGAGGTAGTGCAACACTACTCCTAGAATGTGGTGGAGCTCTCTCTCCCAAGCTAGGCCTATTCCTTAGAATATGTCCTGGTTGGTGGCACAAAATACACTTGTTTGATCTAGAAAGACACACCCTTGTGAGATATTCCACACCTATATCACTTCTTGGCTTCAATCTAGTTGTCAATACTGTTGGATCTAGCCTTCTTAGCACTTGCATTTCTAGACTTAAAACATTGTTTGCCCTTAGAGCGCCGAGGAAACTTGGATTCTTCTAAATTCCTTGTCTTCTGAAAGTCCCTCATCTTATGGGTAGCTTGTAAATACAACTCATTCTCCTAGCCCTCTCCATCAATATAGAGTAATCATCAATTACAAGAGGAACCAGTGGCTATCTAATCATATCACTCAACCTTGACGAAAACTTATGACACTTCTCAACATTTAGAATCAATTTGGGTGCAAACCTTGAAAGCATAGTGAACTTCTCCTCGTATTGCATTACTAAACGACAGTACTAGTCTGTTAAACTTATCATGCATTTGTCTCATAGCTGACAGTTGCACGAACCATCCTCTATAGGTTGCCACATATTCCTCCCACTTCACGAAGTGCTTGGTTTTTCCTCCTAACTTCTGTGACTGTCATTGTCGTCATCTTTCAACTTCTCTTTCAAAGGTAAAAGTGGTATGTATAACCCTCCTCTCAGGAAGACAATACAATCCATCCATAATTTTCTTTATTCTTAATAGCCAGTTCTCAACATGCACTAGATTTTCTTCTCTAGAAAAGAGTGGTGACTTTATATCTTGAAATAACTTCATATATTTGTCCATTGGCCTCTCCTGTTAGAATAGGCTTGAATCTGAGGGTTCCTAATTATTTGTGTCATTGTAGTTATCATCACAACAAAAGCATCTGTGTTTGCTGAGATATTTCGAGGTGTATTACGTGGAGTGTTATTCTGACTAACTTCTTCTGGATTATCGTCATTTATGAAATAACATAGCAGATAAAATAATTATATACAATTTAACCCTTTGTTTATCAACTAATTTAGTCAGCATAATGAGTTTTTTTATCAATATTCACACATAATATCTTTGAGACCATTTTTATCACATTCGACCTGATAGCTTAGAATTAATCAAGTTAGGAACTGTGGTCGGACATTATTAACTTTTCATTTATATCATTCAATAATGAATTATAAGTTCGAATAATAAAAGAGTCATTAAAAGGACCCATGAAGTACACTGAAGAGAAATCTAATTCATCTAAAGTATTAACATACATTGAGTGTAAAACTGTATCACAATCCAACGAACCATAGTCCAACATTTATTAAATTAAACGACATAAGAACGAGAAGCAAAATAAACAACCTGCTAGCTAGTGTCAGTAGTCTTTCTTCTGTAAACTAAATCCTTCTGGTCGGTCATATTAATGTTATATTTTACCTAAAAGAAACAATTAATTTAAATAGTAAGTTTATTACAACTTAGTGAACAATTATAATCTTATTATGTATTAAATTAAATATATAAATGTTATGCATGAATGTTCAAAAAAATTTAATTTATTTATTAATTAAACTTTAATGTATAATTTTAATTTAACCCTTCATGTTTCAATTTATGTATTTACCTTTTTAATATTTTGATTTTATTTTAAGAAGTCATATTAGGATTACCGTCATACTCAAACGTATCATAAAAAAGTTATACCCGTAGGCACCCTTAACTTCTTATACACGAAGGTGCATCTTTACAATTTTTCTTTTTTTCATTCATGTATGGTTACATTGCATCCCATATCAGTACTATCAGAGGGTAAATTTTGATTAACTTAAGCCTTTACTTATCTTTTTTATTAATTTAAAATCATTTAAATGTGCTTTCATATGTTAATTATTTTTTTCACATTTGTGCGACATCTTTCAAACATTCAAAATGCAAAGCATAAATAATTTTTTTTAAAAAAATAATATTTCAAGTTCTTTTTTTTAATTTGAAATGCAACTTCTGAATAAATCATCGATCTGATACCAATAAGAAAGTATTCACTCACCAAAACTTTTAGGAGACCTAAAAAAAATTATCCATTCTCCTTATTTCCTCTAGCATAAAAAAATTTCGATCTCTCTCTCTCTCTCTCGTCCTTTAATTCAACAGTTTGACAAATTAAATCACTAAAATTAATTTATAAAAATACTGATATGAAATTAACACCACCTTTAATTAAACTAAATTCTATAATTAAGGCCTCAATCTTATAAATATTTACCTCATTGTTCTTTGGATGTCTGGATTCACTCTTAATCAAATCGCAAGAATTTGTCAGCCTTCAATTCTTGATTATTTAAACCTCATATAAGCATTTACATTATCAATTCTTTACTTGATAAAAATAAAACCTCAACATTTTTCTTCTCCTTATTGTATGAAATCAATAATTTATGCCTCCCAATCTTACAAAGTAAACGTTCTTCGATTAAATGTCATATTATAATTTAATAGAATCTAGCATTAATACTTATAACATTTATGTAAATTAATTAAATCTGAAATTAAAACGTACCCTAACCTTAAAACAATTTCGTTTGGCTGCCCTTACCCCCATGCGTACGAGCTGTCTCAGTTCTCTTTCGCACCAAAAATGATATTGCTTCCTACACGCGACACACTTCCTTTCTTCTTCAATGTCGGCCAATTCTCCTCCTTCACACACGTCGAAAAAATACAACGCCGTTCTTAACAATCTCAGGTGAACCCACAGCAAGCGGCAACGTCAACTTCTCACGCAAGCTACGATATATGAAGTCCTCTTGGTTGGTTCTTCAACATGTGATGCTTTCTTGTCTTCTTCTTCTACTTTTTTTCTGGCACATAACACGATTGAATGACATCGCACACGAGCCGCCCGCTTCTCTTTCCTTCGTCTTCTTCTTCTTCTTCCTTCTCTTTACGCTTCTCACAAAACCTTAAAACTTTTCTTCGGCACACGAGCACTCTCGCTCTTGCCTCTTTGGTTTATTTCTTCATTTTGTATGATGTTTGAAAATGTTACATGACTCTTAAGATAACCGCATACGGTCATCCGTGCTGTTTGATATTTCATTTTATTTATTTATTTTTTTAACAAATATTACAAAATATATTCCTTCCATGACTAGAAGAGATTTCGCTTGACCAGTTTTACTGTTCAATTTTCAGCAAGGTCTATCAGCTTCAACGCTTGCTTCCAGCTTTGGAAAGGTTCTAAGCTCAAGAAGAAAGCTTTCTGACTACAAAGCTGAGGATCTTGCCACAACGCTATTGAGCGCATTTACTTACAATATTGCACAGGTAAGCTGCTCTTTTATGTTTTTAATAGGTTGACGCATTGTTTAAACCGGCTGGTTATGTTTGCTGTCAAAATTAGATTTATTTAATGACCTTGTTACATCTGCAAAGTTGGGAATGGGTTCATGATCCACATCTTTCATCATAGCTATGCATATAAGTTTAGCTTTCTTTATTTCTCAAGTGAAAAATTCAAATACTAAAATATGATAATTCAATATTAATCTCAACCAGGAGAAATAGTAGTATGATTTAAATATTGCATAATATGGAATTTAGGAGAAACTTTCGTAGGGGAAAAACTTTCGTAGGGGAAAAACTCTAATTTTCTCATTAAACTAATACAAGCAAATAACAAATATATACAACTCATACTAACCCTCATACAATTGGATAATTAAAGGGAGGATAATTTCTCTCCCTCAAAAGTAGTAACAAAAATATCTAAAATCGTGTGTGGGCCCATATGGTCCACGGATATGCATATCAAGAATCCCCCTCAAGTTGGGTTGTATAGTTTGTACATACCAAACTTGTTGTTGAGATCATTAAAGTGGTTCCGAGGAAGAAATTGGTAAGAATGTTAGCAATTTGATATTTGAGTTCGATGCAACTTAGCTGGACAACCCCTCCATTGATCTTCTTAGAGATGAAGTGCTTATCAATCTCTATATGTTTGGTTCGATCATGACGTCTCTAGTTCTTTAAAATACTGATGACTGATTTACTATCACGAAACATATTAATAATGATTTTATTCCTCATATGTAGTTTCATCAATAATTTCTTTAACCACATCCCATCACAAATTCTTAGGTCAAGGGCATGATACTCAAATTCTGTAGTACTTCTTGCCACCAGAGTTTGCTTTTTTACTTCTCTAAGTATCTGGATTATCCCATGCAAATGAACAATAACTTGCAGTAGATCTTCTGTCAGTAAGTTCTCCTGCAAAACTAGCATCAGTGTAGATTTCAATTTTATGGTTCTCAGTTTTCTTGAACATCAATCTACGTCCTAGAGTCATCTTTAGGTACATTAAAATTCAAAAGACTACTTCTAAATGATCATATGGATCGTTCTTATATTAAATTACTACACCCACAAAAAAGCAATGTTAGGTCTTGTATGATAAGTAAATACGTTTTCTCACTAGTCTTTTTCAATAAGAAAAATAAAATAAATAAATAAATAACAAATAAATACTTATGATAATAACAAATCAAATCGACATGTAGGCTAATCGCCATTACAGTTATGTTTAAGAGTTGAGAGGGGGTTTCGATCGGGAGTCTCAGAAATGCTTTTGAGGGAGAGCAAAGACAACGAGAGAATAAGAATAACGATAGTAAAGAGAGGAAGGAAGAAAGAAGAGGAAAGAGTAGAGACTGTCCCTTGTTTTGACGTTGAGCCTAGTCAAAGGAGGAAGAAGTTCGAGTGCGTAAAACAATCGAGCCTCACTCACGACGAGACTTTTTTTCGAGTTCTTGCGCACAATTGAAGAGGACGAAGGAAGCGAGGAGCGGGGGGGGGGGGGGGGGGGGGAAGTGTGTGT